GCCAAAGGGGCCATCAGATCCAACCCCCTGCTGGTGCAGGATGCCACTTCACACCATCCCACTCAGATGACTGTCCAGTTTCACCTTGAATGCCTCTAGTGTGGGAGAGCCCACGACCTCTCCGAGCAATTGGTTCCACTATTGTACTTGTCTTATGTTTTTAGCTGAAAGAAATAGAAATAGATCTTCAGATTGTACCCTGGGCTTCCTTGATGAGAAGATCAGCAGCAACCCAAGTTCCCTGAAACATCCAGTAGGGCATGTAAGGCATTTTTAGACCCTATCTAAAAATTAATGGACTAGGGGTACAATCCTATGGCCTCCTCACATTGTCTGTGATTATCTAGGGTCCCACCTCAGAGATCCTCTGATCTTGGAGCCAAGACTCCCTCCAAACCAGGCCAGCTGCCTCCCGCCTGCTCCAGGTTGCAATCAGAAATGGAAGGAAGGAAAATGTGGTGCACCAGAGGTGGGCATGGGAAACATCTGAGGCTACAGATTTATGTCCGTTCCTATTATTGGCCCAACATCCTCTCCTTGCTTTATCTAGATAGCTGAAATCTCCATTTATATAAAATATTCAGTGCAAGGTGTGGCAGAGGCCGAGATCACTTCTGCTGAACTGTCTCCCTGGCATAGGATACATGTGAGCCTCCAGGTTTGGAAGTTGTCATGCATTGGGGCTGTGAGGCAAAGGACCAGACCCTTAAAGGGTCTCCTTTAGACAGTTCAGGATAATACTTCAGTTGTGAAGCACACAACCAACTTTTCTTCACTCACTTTTAAATTTCATGCTTCCATCCTGAAACATGAGAGCAAAAAAATCCCAGACTGTTTGCCAGACCAGAGTTTTAAAAAATACTCTGAACATGTGTTGCTTTGCATGTTACCCTCATTCCAATCATTAGTCCAGTGTGACTGCAGGATTAAAATGGGAGTTGTCAGCTGGTCCGATGCCAAATACAGTTAGTAGTGAATGCACTCCATTTTCCTGTAGAAAAGGATAGCATATTTTAAAAGTAAAACCTATAAAAATCAGCATCAATAACCAAGTCCATGCCCAGTTGCCTGCCCACTGACGAGAAAATGTTTAAGAAGGGAAAGAGTGGTTCCTGGCATCCCACAGGGCTTGTTTACATCAGTGGCTGCTCTCTGGATTATCGTCTGCAGGGCTGGACTTTGGCCCCAGTGCCTAGCTGCATCGCTTCCCACTGTTACTGAGTCTCACTGCGACACAGAGGTAGAGGGCTGTGTTGGACATCTTTCCGGCCCCACACAGGGCTGGGCCAAGACCTTTTGCTGCTTGAGGTACGAGGCAGTTGGACTGGTCTGTCAATCTTGCTGCAGTAGTGATGACGGGACAGTTTCCTCCACAGCATCTGAGGGTAGCAGGCTTGTCTCAGGATGCAGGGCAAGTTGTGAAGTGCCCAACGCAGCTCTTCCAAATCTCATCCCTTCTTGCCAGTGCCTGCTGCCTGAATGGGCTGCCCCACCTGGTTGCCCCCCCAAGTTGATGCTGAGCAATTGTGAAGCCCAACAGGAATAGCACGCTTAGTGGGCCATGTCCCAGAACCCTCTGCAGCATGCAGGAAATCTGTGACAGATGCTAGGGATTCCTCAGCAGCAAAGTCAGGATTCCCCGAATGTAGAGCATTTGAACACAAACTCAGCTAGAGAACTGCCTGTGTCCATCTGGTTTGAAAATGGCTCAGGATATCTTTACAAAAATGGAGAGACCAGGGTGCTGAATGGTCACTGGAACACCCGCCCCTTCTCAGAGTGTACTGATAAGCAGTTCTGAAAGGAAGAGCTGCCGTATGGTGGTTAGAATTCATTGGCAAAAGGTCCCAGGCTCAGCCCCTGTAATTTCTGAAAGATACCTGCCTGAGAACATGGAGAACTGGTGCCAGTCATGGGAGGCCAGGTTTTTCCAGCCTGGTTCTCTGTATATGGTATTCCCATCAATCCTGGTCAACATGATCAGTGGTCGCAAAAGGAGACCTGGGGACACCAGATTGGGGAAGGCAGGTGTAGACCAACATTAGGCAAACAATAGATTTCTGGATATTTTGGACTTCATTTCCTAGGAATGCCTGCCAGCATGGCCAGTAGTCAAGAGGAATGCCAGGGTGCAAGTCTCAAACATCTGGAGATTATCTCCTGCCTGTCCCTGCTGTAGACAATACTGAGCGTCATGGTCTAGTAGGTCTGACCTATGTGACCCCCTCCATGTGGGAGGCCCAAGGCAATTGCCCTCATTTCCCCAAGGGAGTGAGGTCCCTTCACCACTCAGATTCGTGGGCAAATCATAAAGGCTTCAGGTGTCCTTCAATTAGTTATATGAATGCCTTCACTGCCTTTTGCCAGACATGAACAGACTGCTAAACTTGCCACCCATCAGGCAACATATCGACTGGAAAAAGAGAAGTGCAAGGCTTGCCTGATTGCAGTTGGCTGTTCTGAGCATGGAACAGAGCTTGCCATCCAGATTGGTCGAAGCATAAAGCTATTCAGACTTACTCTGAGAACTGTTGAAGAAAAGGGACACTGCTGGGACAAGGAGCTATTAAAACTCTCTGAATTTCTCTCTGAATGTCAGTTCATAGTTGCATTTTAATACGTTGTTCTCTGACAAAGCAGCTTAATAGTGCTGGATGGAAGGTGTAATGAGACATCAGCCACAGAGTTCAGAAGATGCTGCTTTTACTTGTTAAGTTTGGAGAAGTGTCTTTTCATGCTTTACATTCACTGTAATCGCCTGTCTGTCTGTCTGTTGTGAAAGCTTGTCTGAATGTTTCAAGGAGTTCTTCCTTGGTGGCCAAGCTGGCCTGTGTTCGGTTGTCCCCATCCCATCCGTTTGGAAGATGGACCATGCCTGTCTTTTTATAAGATGGCTCTGTGTGGCTGTCCACCTGCTTATGTCAAGTTCACTCTGAAATCAGTCGGGCTCACTGGGGGCTGGCTTGCAGGAAGGCTTCAGCCCTTTAGCAGTGCCTTGAGTGCGTATTGATCTGTTCTGGGTCAGAACTGGGAGTGGGAGCAGGCGCTCCAGCTGGGTCAGTGGCAAAGCAAAGCAGTGGCGGTGGGCAGGGCAGGTCTTGGTTTGGTACGACTCCACTGCAGTGCTGGGGATCGATAAAGCCTGCAGGGTCTTGACTTTGCTGCAGGCAGGCATAAATCACTCCCACCCATTCTTCTTTTCTTGACACAGGCCTGAGGGCTGCCCCCTCCCCAGTCCCCAGCGCCTGATGGATTGCAAGCTGCTGCTGTCCACCTGCCATTTATCCAAGTCTTGCTCAGTGCCTGGTGAGTAGCACTGCAGCGGAGGGAGCAAGGGAGGGGGCAGGAACCACCCCTTCTGTGATCTGTGGCGCTTTTGGCCTGGCCTCTTTCGTATCTTGTGCAGGATCCACCTTTGGCCGCACAGGATACCTATCTTGTTGCCCTTGATCGTAGGACGACTATTCAGTATTGCAAGGTGTGAGACGGGGAGGACATTCTGCTGGTGCTGAATTCACCAGCTGCTCCCCACCCTCTGCTCCACTCAATTATCCTGGGCTAGTCTGTGCAAAGGAAGGATGTCAGCTCTGATTAGTTGTACAATGTAATCTGCTGTTGCTCCTCCACCAAAAGTAGCTTGCCCATCCACCCTCTCCCAGAAGTGTGATATTTCCATGCCTGTTCTCAGCTTGACATTGCAGTGAAGAGGGCTGGTCTCTAAGGAGGTGAGAGAGAAACCCCCAAGGAGGCTCTCCGTAGAGCTGCGGCTGGAGTTTGACCATGGAACAAGGTCCAAGCCCCCCCCCCCGCGCCCGCATGACCACCCAGAGAGTGGCAAGTGATGGAGGAAGAGGCCCGGCATGCCAAGACCTGGGCTGCCACGACTACCCCACCAAGCCTGGCATCGGTCTCTTCAGCACTTGCCTGATTTTCTTTTAAAGTTATAGTCACGGGGCAGCCATCTGGGCATGGTTAGAGATTTTAAAATATCCTTTCCTACAATAAAATTATGCTTATTCCCAAGTAAACATCAGGGTCATAGAAACAAATGCCATAATGTTCCTGTATTCAGGCTGGCATCTGATTTAAAGGAGTTTTCAAGTTTAAAAGACACACAATGCAAGTTTTGTTTTTAAATCAGGTTTGGTAAACTGTGTTTGTTTGCTCTAGTGTATCGCGAATGTAGCAACAGTTGTAAAGTATGGAAGAGTGTGAGAAAAGGGAGAAGAGAATGTTAATTGTGTGCTTCAAGGCTGACTGAAGTCCAGGATCTAAAATTGTTAACAGTGCTATTGGTTCTTACTCCACTCTGTAGCTCAGTCATTAACACCCATGCTTGGTTCAAAAAGCTTTTTATTGGCAGGATGAAGCTCCATGAAATCCGGCTTCGAAGAGCCCTTTTAGTTTCTCTCTGCCAAGGGGGAAGCTATGCTTCTTCCCTGAGGTGAGTGAGGGACACCCTCCCCCCTGCCTGGCACCATACAGGGCTTTCCCCGCTGTGCTTTTGGCCCTCACAGTTAACTGCACATGGATGAACTCCCCTGCTTGTGCCAGGCCTGGTTCCCCAGTCTCCTCATACGTGAGCCTAAGGCATGGCATGGCTCCGCTGGGGTAGGCCGGTGCCTTCTGAGGGAGAGGAGGCATGTGAGCTGAAGCCAGTGGGGGATCCTTTGGTGCCCTTTGCCTTGGCTTGTGACCAAAGCTCAGGTGTGACTTCCTGGAGTCGCAGACCTTGGAGTCCAAAACTGTTCCTGTGTGCCGGTGGAAGTTGCATAGCTCCTTGGACCTTGAGGCACGTCATACACCTGTGTGATGCTGCGGGGAGGGGTGGATAGGCAGCTCTGGCATGTCCTCAGGTAGAACCAGGCTCCTGGGAAGACGTTCTACAGCAAGTGGAGCTGGCTGAGGTAGTTATTCTGAGCTGTGCGACTCGCACACCCGTTTCTGCCAGAGAGGCGAGGATTGCACCTCTTTGAGCAGTGCTACTTTCTTGGCTGAGGGAAGGGGGCAGAACGAGGGGAAAGACTGCAGCTCACCCCCTCATTGCAGCCTGGCTTCTGACCATAGCCGCCAATCTCAATACAAACAGAAAGCAAATCAGGCCGGCTGGGCTGTGATAAGCAGGCCAAGGGGGTGAGAGCCGCCCCACGGAAGTGTTGGCTGCCGCTGTCTCGTGTCATCCCGAGAAGGGGCGTAGAAGGGAGCCTGCCAGCAGAGTGCCATTCCTGAGCCGGCCAGTGACTGCTGCATCTCCTCATAGCCCTTGTCAGGCTGCTCTGACCCTCGAGCAAATCTGGGCACAGAAACCCTGAGGATCCCAATCCCTTGCGAGGCCTCAGACGAGGTTGGTGGCCAGTCTCCGCTGAGCCTCGTCATCCCATTCCATGCTGGCACCGTACTCATCACCTACGCGTGAGAACAGGGAAGAGAGCAAAGGTCCGGATTAGTAGCTTGGCAGGTTCTGCAGTGCGGCTGCCATCTGCCTGCCCCGTCCATAGCACACGATCTCTTTCCCGGTCAAGGCTTCCTGCCGTGGTCTCACCTGTGTGGCAGCCGTGCAGCCAGATGCGATGACCATCGTACTGACACTGGCAGCGAAGGACATTGTTGGAGAAATCTGACTCTGCTACCTCATGCTTTGGATTCACAATCACCTAGCAGGGAAAAAGTAGTGGGCAGAGCTGGGAGGGATGGCCTGCAGTGGAAGAGCCCAAAATCGGTCCCTTTCCAACCTCCACCAGTTTTAGTTAACAAAATAAAACAAAGCCAGCGATGCAAATGTCATCAGTGCTGGTTTTAGCAGTCACGAGGACTTCAGTGCTGGGAAGGGAAATCCCGTGTCCCCAGTGGCCCAGCCAGGCAACTTTCAACACTCACCTGGAAAATGTAGCTTCCAGCTGGCACGTCTGTGATGTCCACCCACTGGCAGTCAATGTCATGCCTGTATGTGTCCCAGCAGCCTACACTGACGCCCTGCTCTCCAAAATTAGCACAGGCAAAACGCCGCTGCCTTCCTGTAGGAAGAATAACAGGGTGGCTGACACAGAGCTGGTCCCGCCTTGCTTCTCTGCCAAGGCACTTCTGCCTGAACACGTGTCATGCTAGAGCCTTGGCAAAACTGAGGAGCAGTCCTTGAATAGGCTGCTATAGGGCAGGCTTTTTCAAACTGGTGCCCTCCGCGTGTGCTGAGCTGCCACCCGCATCATCCCCAGGCAGGAATGGCTACTGACTGTGCTGACTGGGGATGATGTGGAAAGCGCCAGATTGGGGAAGGCTGGGGCAGGAATTGGTGCAAAAGCGAGACCGAACTGATTCTGACTTGGTCCTTGCCTGTGTGAGCTGCCCCTTACCCTCTGGGCAGTTGGTGTCCTCCAGGCAGAAGCTGGCCTTGTGTCCCTCAGCCACTTTGGAGCCATTGAGAGTCAGTAAGTCATAGTGGGTGAACACTTCGATGCTGTGGTAGTGTCTGTGGAAAGACCAGCAAGGAGAGGGATGCAGCGGCTGAAGGGCGGGGAAACAACAGGCTTAGGGAGAAGGGTTCTTGCCTAGCAGAGGCCAAAAGAAATCTGCTTGAAGGGGCTGTCAGGGAGGCACCGCGATCCACCAATCTGCGGAACAGGATGGGGCAGGAGGGTCAGGCGGGGCCGTCGGCTCAGCTACTATTATAGCTCTGTATCCAAATTCATCCATAATGACAACCCTGGTGCCAACGCTGCTATTTTCCCAGAAGCAACGAGCGCAGCTTCCACCACAAAACAGCTTACTGGGGTGGGCTGCTGCTTTTTGGACACGTGAGCTTTGTCTCCCAGGCTTGGAGGCTGGACCGCAACTTGTGAAAAATATGCATAGTCAGTAAGATGAAACTGACAACAGGTTTCTGCCACCCAGCTTCTGTTCCAGAGTGTACACAAGCAGCTGTGTCCTCAGACAGTGGCCAAGCCAACAGAGCTTCAGCTATTGGGCAGCACATGAATGAACAAATGAATGAATGAACGAACAAACAAATGAACTGATGTATCAAGAATGACCCCCTACCTATGACACTGGTGCCAGATCCATGCATGGCGGCCAGTTTTGGGAAGGAAGTCGGCCCGGCCTAGATTGTGGATCTGGGAGGAGAAGCGCAGCAGACGCCGATGCCCCTCAGGCCACTGCATGTGATCGGCAGAGGCGGAAAGGCAGCCTTCCTCATGGGCACAGTACAGGATGTTCAGGGGACGGTCCTCTAGATAAGCGCTCTCCTGTACCAGTTGAGCGTTCATCACCAGGTCTGGGGTGCCTGCAAAGAGCAGTGGGGTAATGAGGCCCGTACCAGCGAAGGAGAGTCTGTCACTGTGGTCTGCAAGGGGCCTCTGCTCTCCTGATGCCTTCCAGGATATTTTTGCATTCCTCCCATGGCACCTGCAAGGGCTACAGAGTGCCAAAATGGCTTACAAGCAAGCTAAATCCAACCATGATGGTGCTCTGTCCTGCTATGGGAAACTTCCAGGCCTATTTGGAGAGGCTGCCCATGGACTGTGCCCCAAAAGTTGCCCACCACTCTGCTATGCCCCTGTGGGGCAGGACTGCCAAACTATATGTGGGGCAGGGCAGGAGGAACTTTGGATCCTGAAGCTAGATACCACCCATCAAACTGCACTGCTCCATCCAGAGCACCTCCATGATGATCAGCCTGCATTTCTTTGGCCAGCCTTGGCATAGCACAGGGAAACCGGTCTCCCGTTTCCCAAGAGAAAGCACCACTTTTCAGGCTGCCGCTCCCCACCCAAGGAGAACTGCATTGTGGCACCCCCTCTGCTAGCTTCAAGCACACGGACGCCGGCCTGCTTCTGTTTCCACTCACTGCTGGTGCAGGTGACTCCTGCAGCAAAACGTCCCCCTCCGGCTGGGCAGTGGACGGGGCCATGGTGCTGGCACTGCAGGATGGAGAGTTCGGTGCCTTTGCAACGTACGCCACTCAGCACCACCTCGGCGGCATCTGCGTTGCCCTGCCAGTACCACGTCTCCTGGGGAGAGAACGGAGGTGAGAGTACTGAGCAAAGGAGGCCTTTGAGTTTTAAGACATTGCCCACAATACAGGGGACAGGAGCACCAGAACTTTCTCTCGTGGGCCTTCCCAATGCCCAGCGCTGGACGCTAGAGACAGCATCTGCCTCTGCAGCTGGGTCTGAAGGCCAGGCCCCTATCAGTGCCGCTGAATGCGCAGGGAAATGCCAGGTGGCAGCTGTGTGTGTACACACCCACCTGCAAAGCATGGCTGGCAAAGCCGAGTCCCAGTTGCCGGCATACGACCATCGCCTCCTTGAGCCCCCAGTGTTCTCCGCACACGGCACCCCAGCGTGAAGTTCCTCCCCTGGATATCAGGACTTCCACCACACCTTCGTCTGGACTGCGCCCACCAGCTAGACGTACCTGCATGAGAGAGATGGCATAATGGACAAAGCAATTAAAATGGCATGAGGCGTATGTTTGCAGGTTGTCTAAAGGTGTATTGGAAGCGGTGATCTAAGATGCATGCCAAGGAATGAGTCCTGCAATGTCGGAAGGGCACACAGCCACTGCACTGACCAGAGGGCAGGCCAAAAAAACACCACTCAGTCCAAGTGGCAGCTGCTTTTCTTGTCTGCTCTCCAAATACCTGTCGTGCTACTCGTGGTTTTCTGAGTGTTGCACAGGCCGCAGCTGCTTTCCACCAGCCTGGAACTCAAGTTCAATGTATGAGATTTTTCTCAGGTGCCCTTCCGCTACTGGAGCCCAGAAGAGCATCTAAGCCCTGCTGGATGACTCATCTCCCTGCTGGAAGGTTACAGCGCCACCTGGCCAAAGTGTTGGGTCTCACCTGGCGGGAGGCTTCTGTCTGGGGCACATTGCAGCGAACGGCAGCATCAGCACCATGCTGGCACCCAGTCTGGGTGGCCTCCTGGGAGCTGCACTCTGCCAGGGAGCGCTCATAGCCCCTGCACCGCACTCTGGTCAAGTGAATGGGGCCCAGGCCTGTAAGAGACGTCACTTGGTAAGGAGGGAAAGCCAGGAGCTCAGGGATCCCCCACCTTCTGCTGCCCCTGTGCTACGGCCCCAACCCTTTCCTGCACCCACTGACAGCAGTGCCGTCTTCTCCCCTGCTTCTGTTTTGCCCGGCTCATTTTCTTCCCACTTGTACACCTGTCCCAGGAGTACTCTTCTGGTTTGACGTCTTCCTCCCCAAATCCACGCTCCTTGTTCCCGTCGTTACAGATTCAGCAGAGAATTGCGGGACATGCTTCAATCTTCCTGAGTCGCATTTACCCCCCTCAGCCTGTGTGGTTTCCTGGACTGCTCCCGGGGGGAACCCATCTGTCCAGACTGAGGCCCTCATCAGGACTTCCTCTGCATATGGCCACTGGCTCCAAGCATCTGTTTCTGACCTGCCAGCTGCTCCTTGCCTACTCACCTTGGCCGAGCTGGGCTCCCAAAAGGGCTTCTCGGGCTGTGCCATATCCCAGCTGTCGGCACACCACGCTGGCAGCAGGCAGGTCCCAACCGTCATCACACACAGTGCCCCACTGGCCACCCATTAGCACCTCCACACGTCCCTCGCCGACATGGGCACCTGCACGGAGACGCACCTGGGCTTCCTGCAAGAGGGGAGGGACCAATTTGGGGCAGACAAACAGAACATGCACATGCAGGTGTGAGTTTGGGGGATGGTCATAGGATTGTCCCTACCAGAGCTCCCAACTGCAAGGAATCCTCAAGTTCTTCCAGGCTAGCCTTCTCTCTTCAATTGCCTTGCCCTCATTTTTCCATTTTTTTCAGGGAATCCAAACCACACTGCCTTCCTCTTGCCTTTTCCTCACCACTTCTTCTTTCTTTCCCCAAGATGTGTTGTGGCAAAACTGACTAAATAACTGTATTGCATGGGAACTTTTCAGTGTTTGCACTAGGAGCCTTCCACCTGGAAGCACCCAAGAAAAGGAAGCACTCTTTATCCTAGCATTGTACTTGCCAGCAGATCCTACCCCACAGTCCAAGTTAATATACTTGAAACAGATTTTCAAGGATATAACCAGATTTATGGCACCTGGTGAAAAAAGTCACATCTTCCATTTACCTCTTTGGCCTTGGGTTTGCCTGGAGGCCTGGTTTTCTTGGGCTGAAACTCTGCGCCTGCTATACAGCTGACCAGGGCATGCATGCCATGGGGGCAGGCCAATCGATTCTGGGCCTTTGGAGGCACATGCAATTTGCATTGACCCAGGTGGACCTCAGTGCCCTGGCATGTGATCCGGTGGATCCAGAAAGTGTTCTTCTTACTCAGACTCTTTAAGCTGCAAAACAGAAGGTTGAGGTGATGGATTTACCAGACAATGTTTACTCTGGCAACCTTTGCTAGGGCTTGGAGTATTTGCTGCTGAGAGCCACTGGGACAAATTAAAGCAGAAACATAACTAGGTGTTGAATGATCCCTGTAACCTGCATCTCCTCTTTGCTTCACATTCTTCTCTCTCTAGCACTTGGCAGGGGTGTCCTCACCCTTAAGGTTATCACATTCAGCTGCAGCCCTGCCATCCTGCCTTCTAATGATGACACTCCCCTTTCCTAGCAATCCTAAGTCTCCTTTCACCTGATTTTGAATGCCACAAGACAGACATGTAAGACTGGCCAGCACCTCACCTGGACCTTGGGTCGCTCAGCTTCTGGTTCCAGAGTTTCCTGAAAGGTCAGAATATCAAACATTAATGCATCAGACAGTGCTAATGAGACCGGCTGGCACGTGGCTAGATTAGCCAATTGTACTTCTCCTTTGGCTGTTTTTATGAGATTTTTAAAAGGTAACTCATTCTAGATTTTGAACAACTTTTAATGAACGAGCATATGCAATAGTGCAATGGCCTCCCTTGTTTCTACTTTGCCTCTGGCAGGCTTGGCAACACACTGTACAGAGTAATTGTCTTGTGCTATTCTAGCAAAGCCCCGTTGCTGCTGGACCTCTTCGAACTTGCACTGATGCTCCTACAAGCAAGTTCTGCACAGCTGGGGCAAGTGTGTCAAGGATGCAGGTTGCCAGAAGAAGAGAAGTGTGTCCCTGTGTGGACTGTGCGCTCAGGGCCAGCTCTTAGCTTGTGCTGCCTTTAAAGAACGTCCTGCTCTAAGGGTTGAAAGAGGAGTGCTAGCCTTGCAGGACGGAGAGACAGGCCCAGTGCCAAAAACAGCAGGTTCTGCCTCTCTGTGAGAAGTTGCCTGGGCCAGCCCAAACTTCTCTGTAATTAACCCCACTGTGGTTTGGCCGGTCCCCACAGTAAGATGGCCCTGGCACCCACACCTGCTCATTGCAGGCCTGTATTTATGGAGAGAATGGTGGGTGGGGTGTAGAAGAGGAACAGAAGAAAACAGGCACATGGGCCTCCCAAATGTGAAGGGGAAAGAGATACTGCAAAGCCACCGGAAATGCACGGCCCATGAGAAACAAAACAGGAAACATGGGGCGAGACAGAGGCCACTGTGCTGTCCATGCATTCCGGGCACCGGCACGTGCACAGATGTGATGCAGCATTCATGAAGCCGACACTGCATGTGCACTCAGTGGCCTCCCAGAGCTCTCCCCGCGTCAATGCACAGGACCTCTCCCGGTTGACACCCCATTCCCGGGTGTCCTCCGGCATGCAAAGCTCACTCCCTTTTGGTTCTTACCTGTAGAATCCTGTAGCAACCTGGCCTTCACGGGGGAAGCCCAGCATCCCACACAGCACCCGAGTGTTGTTGCGCGTCCAGCCAGCATCACACACCTGGCGCCAGCGTCCCTGCAGCTTCACCTCCACGGCACCTTCTGTGACGGGGGAGCTCAACTTGGCCCGAGCCAGTATTGGCTTGATCTGCACCTCTTCCACCTTTGAGCCCTGCCGGGAGAAGAAAGGGGTGGGTTTTGCTATGGCCATTTGTGTCCCGATAGGCTTCCCAGTGAACCCTGGTGAAATTTGTCTCACGTTAGCACTGCCATTCTAGAACTACTTATTTTGGAATCAGTCGCACTAAATACAGTGGGACTTCTGCCCAGGTAAGCATGCACAGAACTGCTTCTGAGACCTGCTTAGGAAGAGGAGGCAGCTTCACTGCCAAAGGAAGGACGCTCACCTGGAACTGGATGCGTGTAGCTGCTGGGTTTGTTAAACGCCTCCCAGTGCATTCCACGCTAGCGTCCTCATTGTGGTTGCAGTCAGTCACACCCCAGCCGTTGGATTCACATTCAGCCAGAGAGCTTTCTGTGCCAGAGCAGCGCATGTTGTCCAGCCAGATTGGGCCTGTAGATGTACAAAGGCAGAACCAGGAGCACAGGAATGCTTCCCAGTGGCAGGAAGCTAACAGTCCAAAGGCATCGTGCACAAATTCCACCTTTGCTTTTCCTTAAAAGAGCTTTCTAGTTAGAAAAGCGGGAAAGCACAAGAGAGTTACAAATGAAATGACATTGTTTGTACCACGTGCACAGTTTCATGAAAGTGGCCATACAATTACACAATAAAAACCTCATCTGGAAACATCCCTGGCCATTTGTTTTCATGGGCTGCTGCCACAGCCTAATTTCCCCCAAACAGGCGTTGCTTCCTTAACAAAGCTCCCATTTAGTGTATAAAGTCAGTTCAACCTTCCTCAATGCAGGGCTCTCCAGATGTGTTGGATTACCACTCTCATCATCCCCAACCATCATGGCAAGGGATTTGGGGTGCAGTAGGCTGACATGTTGGGAAAGTGCCTGGTTGAGGAAGGCTAGCTCAGTCTTTCCGTTGATAAATCACTAGTAATACGGGCAGATCCCAGCACTGAGAGTAAAGCAAGGGCCTGCTTTATTGTGTAGATTTGACTGGGGATGGAGGAAGTGGGGAGGAGTGGCAATGGAAAGGAATATGTGGAGAGTCATTCATATTCATTCTGCAATCCTCCAAGAGAAATTTGGAGACCTGCTGGCTAAGAGGGAATTACTTGACCAAAAGAAAATTGCACAATGGTCAGTCTTCAGTAGCCTGAAAATACACTAGCCACGGCTGAGGCTGGCATTCAGTCCCATGACCTGACATTCAGGGTGAAGACTTACATTAAAAGAGGGCAAGGTGCATAGCCAATAACGCACAAGCTCAATTTTAGAATTAGTTTCTATGGCTTGGCAAGACTGACACCTTTGAGAGTACTGAACAATGTTGAAGTGTATCACAACTAGGGGCTCTGACGTACCAAGAGACTGCAGGAAACACATTTGCCCTGCTATCTTGATTATGACCCTTGCAGAGAGTATGCCAAGCTGTACCAGACTCAATCTCCCACCCATTGCCAATAGTTATTTTAGCTGATCTAAGGAGGGCTCTTCTCTGACCTTATCAGCCCATGGTCCATTCATAAAAAGGGGGTCTGCTGTTACTCAGGCCTGCATGGACACCACCCTAAATTGGTGCCTCCCAGAGATGCTGGCTTGCACATTGCATTATAATTCCCGGGCTGCAAGGCCAGTGCTACGAGTTATGGGAGCAGCAGCCCAACACATCTGAAGGGTGCTCTGCTGGCTTTAGTTCTGAAGATATCGACCCATGCTCTAAATGTATTAAATGGGCCTCCGTGCAGGAAATTCACTCTGCACCTGACAGCAACATTCTTCATTAGCCTTCTGGCACTAAACAGGTTCCGTGGTTCAGATCTATTGAGAGTGACCCACCCCAAACTGAGCCCAACAAGACCCCCCACACCAGTTCCTTACCATCTCCTGGTCCATACTTGGCACTGTGGGCCCAATTTGTGGCCCCCTCGTAGCCCAGCTCCCTGCAGGCCACACTTGCCACATGGATGTTGAAGTCATCATCACACACGGTGCCCCACTGTCCTTCGTACAGCACTTCCAGCCGCCCCTCGCCTGCTTCGCTTCTCGGCCCCACCAGCCGCAGCTTAATCTTGGGTCGTTGTGCCCAGCTAGGCACTGCCAGGCATAGCAGGAGGAGGAGGAGGAGGTGATGCACTGCTTTAGGGGACATTCCTGGTCAAGGGATAATGGCGATCTGAAGGATGCAAGAAACCCGATTAGAAGAAGCATGGCCTTCTGGGAAAGAAATGGTCAGGGGAATTCTTGCCACAAGGAAAGGGGGCAAAGATCCAGGTTTGAGAAGGGGGCATTTCTCTTTAGGTAACCTTGTGCTTACTCCAGGAAGTTACAGGATTAGAGTGAAAGCTCTTGGGGTGACCCTAACATGTTTGTTCCCCCATCACCCACAAGTTTGCAAATCTGCTTGGAGGACCAGGCATCTTCTGGGTGTTGCCATGCTCCAGATGGGTGGTAGGATGTAAAACCATACAGACAGATGGGCTCTATAATTAATGGCCTCGACTGATTTATTAAAACATGCAGCTCACTTTTCTACCATGTGAAATAAAAAATAAAAAATTCTAACTTAAAAAAAAAAAAAACCACATAGGTGGGGATTTTTTTTAAAAGGAGCCAAAACAAAATTCCACTGGTAGCAAATAGCAATAACTAATGATGACTCATTAAGCCTTTGTCAGTATAGAAGGGTTTTTTTAAAGGTACAGACCCTTTCCCACCCATACTCTGGATGGATGGCTGGCTGACCAACAGACAGATGTGCGTGGCCAGAGAGACAGATGCGAACGAGTTAAGCAAGTCACAATGCACCCTCCCAACCCTCCCACGCACACCAAGTGCTGACTTACAATCTTCTCCATGTCCCTCCAAATCAATGGGCGGACAGAGGTGCTGGCTTTTCTGCCTGTTGGTTATTTCTGTATTTATGCACTGTCAGGGGGTGGGCTGAGGGGGCAGCAATGTTTCCATCTGCAACGTGGAAACCCTGGCGCAGCCTTCCCCAACCTGGTGCCTTCTGGATGTGGTGGACCACGACCTCCATCATGGTGGCCACTAGAGCTGGGGATGGTGTAACTTGTAGTCCAGCACATCTGGGGGGCACTGGCAGAGTGTTTGGGAGTGCAAAGCTTCTCCAGACTCACCTTTTCCCCATCTCCACCTGCGATCCCCTCTGCAGCGGAGCAAGTTTCACGTGCTGACGGGACCCATCCCATTTCTTTCTGCAGTTTGGATGTCGTTGTTGCAAGAAAGCTAACGGGACATCCTTCTTTTCTCTCACCTGTCATTAGGAATGTGGCTGCACAAAACCCCTTTCCCCCACCGAAAAGGACCCCCTCCAAGCCAACCTGAAGACTCGGAGAGCGTCGCTGGCCGGGACCGTGAACGCTAGCTAGACGGGTCACGGTATTACTCACCCGTGGGAAGGGGGCGGCGGATCAGCAGGACGAGGCAGCGGCGAGGACTGGGCTCCGGGGCAGGAAGGCAGGCACGCGTCGGCGAGAGCTGGAGGGAGCGCGGCGCCGGGAGCGCGGCTGCGAGGCGAGGAGCGCGGCTGGGTGGCTTCGCTGGGCAGGGAGCGCGGGGGCCAAGCCTGTCCCGGGACCGTCGCCGCCGCCAGCCCTCTGCGTCCGCTCCGTGCCGCCCCATGCTTTATATTCGCGGCAGCCGCCCCTGAGCTCTGGCTCCTGGGCAAATCCGGGGCGGGGGAAGAGAGGGAGCCTCAACTGCCTTGGTGCTCCTCGGGGGGGAGGGGGAGCCAGGAAGGCACGGGGGGGGGGGGGGCCACCTGTTTTTCTCTCCGCTCCCGCCTCGCCCCGCCGTGGCGGAGCCGAGCGCCTCCGCGCCTTTACGCGGCGGGGAGGGAGGGGGAGAGGATGCACCCGCCGCAGCATCGTTGCCTCTCTTTACCTGGGAACTCTTCTCCCTGTTGGGTTTCTGCCAGCCGTGCAGCAGGAGTCTGGGCAGAGAGGTTTGTAACGTGGAGGGAAGAGTCAGAGCTGCCCCTGCTCCGGTATGACTGGGTGTCTGACCGTGGCTGTCCCTCTCCACCTGTCCAGGTGTTGGACCAAGGGCGGAAGTGGGGCCCTCGGAGGCAGAGGAAACGGTAATTAGTGAAACCAGGGTGAAGAGGATGCCCATGGGGTAGATCTCTGGGGCTGAGTATTTTTCTGTGTTTCTCTTTGAAGAGAAGACAGAAGAACTTCATGGAGCTTGTTTTGATTTTCCCTGACACAAGAGACAAGTATAATGAACCAAGTAACTAAGAATTAGTGTCTGAGTTTGCATTTTTCTTTCCCTTTCCCAACCTCTTTTCCTTTTGTGTCATGCATTTTCAGTTTCAAGCCTGCGATCAGGAGCTACCTTATGATTAATCTTTATTAGCTCTGAGACACTTTTTCAGCTGAAAAGAGAGGAGGAAATCCTTCTAATAAACAATAACCTCCTCACAGCGAGGAACTGCTGTTGCTGCATGGAAAAAGTGGCTACAGCTTGTGGAACAGGATTACAGTCCAAAATAACCCTTTCCTCTGCTCGCTCCCCTGCTTTCCAGGAGGCAGAAGCAGTTCTCGCCCCTGCCCCAGAGTCCCCTTGTGGCTGTGGGTTCAGTTCCAACATCTTTCTTGGTCTCACTAATAAGCAGCCTGATGTCTGTGCAAGTCCCAAATGGATCCAACGTTTGAAATGTAAATGAAGCCGAATGAAATCTGTGGTGGTGGCTTTAAAAAGATAGTGTTCAAATCACAAGAGAGATCTTAGTTTCCAGTGCACACTCCCTTCCCAAGCCACAGCTGCACCTTCCACAGTTCTGCTGCACACGCAGCACCTCTTCTGCACTGCCCTTTTCATTGCAACAGGGAAAGCTGTGCCCGTACTTTCTCATTCAGTTGAGAGAATCTAATTGTCAAGGGGATTCTCTCTTTCTCTCTCTCTCTCTCTCTCTCTCTCTCTCCCCCCACTCCCCTACCCTTTTCTGTCTTGCAAGGAGCCTAAGGTGTCTTGCGTGGGCCTCCTTCTCTCTATGTTACCCCCACAACAACCCTATAAGGTAGCTTAAGCTGAGAGTCAGTGACTGGCCCAAAGTCACCCAGTGCATTTCATGAGTGAGTCAAGACTATGACCTGGATCCTAGTCTAGGACTGAAGCCGCTACAATACTAGATCTTAGGGATGAGGCTGTAAAGAATGTAAAGGTGTAAAGAATGAAACAAGGGACAGGTCCTTAGGGGTAGGGTCAGCTTATGTCTGATCATACAACAAGTCAATTAAGTCAAGATTGGATCATTGGAGACTGTGGGTTGGATCAAGGATCTGCCTTCTGCTGATGGAAGGCCTCTGCCTGCTTTGGAGCGGTTGCCTCACTGTATGGTATAGCTCATTGGAAGCACCCGCAAACCCCTGCGTAGCATAAATCCTTTTTATGTCAGTCCATTTGCACACATCAAAATCTGGTTCCAACCCAGTGTCACTATCTGCATGGTAACTCCAACCCAGGTTTGTCCTCTCCACATGCCCATAATCAACAAAGCTGCAAGAGCTCGAAGCAGAGAACAAAACATTCCCTCCAAATCACATGCTGACCACCATCTTTGCATGCAGAATCTAATGTGTCCTTGAATGAATTTAATCAACAGTACCAAACTGGCCAAACAAAGGGTTTCATCAGCATGCACTAGAGATGTCAGAGAAACCTGCAACGGATTCAAATGAGCTCGGGTTTCTGTGAATCTGACTTGTTGATACCACCGGTGGACAGCGTTTTTTGTCATGTGGATTCCATAGGCTTGTGGAGCAATGGTTTACTTTTCAGAATTGTATGCACATCAAGTGATATCAAAGTTCAAAAACAAAAAAGGTCAGGTTGAAAACACCCCCCCCCCCCCATTCCCAAATGGGCATGGAAAGGTGAAGCAGTGAAAATCTGCTTGGGAGAATGGAGCAGCTCTCGGCGTATAACTGCGTGGCTTCTGATGCAAACACATATTCATGAAACTCAGAAAAATATGATTCTGTCAAAGAGTGGAAGGCAGAATTGAAGAGGCCTGACAACCTGTGAAACACAGACAGGACAGATTTAACAAAATCTATACATCTGCACTGTGTACCAGACTCCTTCCAGTTAAGGATGCTCAAGGAAAGTGACAATGTGTTCAAGCTGAGCTATACTGTTTCATTCCTTCCTGTGAAAGCATTTAAGAACCACAAGAACTGAAGACCATAATTCTGTTTCTGTTGATTATTTATCAATAAGGAAGAGAGGGAGAATGAGTCCCATGGTGGAGCTGAGAGATCTAATATGATTTGAGCAAACATTCAGAATGATATCTATTCAAGGGATATCTCCATTGCTTGAGAAGAATGTTTGGTTTGCAGCTCACCTCAAGCGTGCTTATTTTCTACATCATCCAAGACCAGCAGAATGATGCACTAGTTCAGCAAATGTGTTTGCCAGCTAAAACAACATTAAAGCATTTGCCGGATGGAATTGATGGAATGGGTTTGTCTTTTCTAGTTTTTCTCCCCAAGCTAGCTTTATCTCCCATCTGCAAATTGGCTATGTATGGGGTGTGGGAGCAGAAAATGTGGCTTGCGGGGCAGGGGGGGGGGGGTTGCAGAGGAGAACCACACAGTGGAGAAAGAGATAAGCAGCCCCTCCAATGTTTTTCCCTTTCAAATTTTCCCCTGCTGCTGCAAATTCCAGATTGGAAAATGGAACATGAGATTCACAAGTGCTTTATAAAAAGTTCAAGTAAAATTTTTTGGTATATGCCGTAGTCACTTTTCAGCATTATTGTAACCATTTTGTGGAACCAACTATCACAGGCTCCCTTTCTCCAACCTTTGATGTCTCAAGGTCATAAGAAAATAGAGAAAGGAAAGCTAAGAGAAAGTCTGTTTTAAAACATGATACTAAATGGTGACTGCAATGTACAACAAAATAATTTCAGCCAAACTGTTACAGCAACACAATAACTACTGTTAATCTGTTGCTGATGATTTGCTAAGTCTTTCTTTGTTTTTCCTTAGAATTGCTTCCCTGGGTATAGGGCCTCACAGAAGAGTACAGCTACTGCTATAGATGGATCGATGGGCAGATTCAGTTAAGGGCAACTTTCTAGGTTCCTTGTCTGTTCATATGAAAAGTCTCCCATCTCCACTGGGAAGACACTTTTGTGTAAATGTATGTATGTTTGCCAATCTTGTGGTTACTGTTATTTTATGTTAAGAAGCAAAGACACAATCTGTATTCCTTGCTCTCTGGGTAATATGATGCCTGCCAGATGCTTTGCACTACAGTCCCCATCATCCCCAGCCAGCATGACCAACAGTCAGGGATTATGGGAGCTATAGTCCAAAGCAGATGGGGACAGTGGGTTATCCACTCCTGCTTAGAGGAGAACAACTCCAATAGAGAGCTCCACTTGCTGTCAATCATTTCCAGCTTCAGGAAGTTGATTGATTGGAGAGAGTGACAGCCTGGGCATCTCTCTCCTGTCTGTCTTAGTTAATCATGGCCACTGATATTCTTGTCTCCCCATCATTTTTGCCTAGTCATTTCTTTTAACCATGTTTAGTAATGATGGTCAACTGGCTGCAAGCGGCAAAGATTAATGGCACACTGTGTTAAAAGATGCACACACTGTTGACAAGGTGGGCATCAATGTTACTGGCTTAAAGGTGCACACATGAGCACCTCCGAACTACATGGTACCCATGAGCCACTGAAGAATGCGCATGAATGTAGATATATTAGAAACAAGCTCACCTCCCCCACATGTACGCACACTCCCACACATGCAATCACGGCCCTGGAACAAGAAGACATGCAGCAGCCCCCCCCCTCCGCACCTCCCGATCCAGGATCTCTAATTTCACAGTTATCTAATTTCACTTACTCAAGAACATGCTAAGTCGTTCATGTTGTACCCAGGACTCTGAGCTCATTCTGCTGCATGGGCCCCTGAAGCCCTTCCCTCCGGTGCCTCTGCCCACAATCTGCAGGTTAGAGCTTGCTTGCTTGCTTGCTTGCTTGCTTGCTTGCTTGCTT